GCGCATGACCGCAATACATTTTGTTTCTTAATGCGATATAACGGGATAGACAAGTCACATGGAATGTACGCCAAGTCAAGTATTGTGTGCTAGTCAGGGTACACTCAAATAATATAAGATGACAAACATGTAAAAGTTGTGTCACAAAAAAGCATGCTAGAAGCTCCAAAAATTGGATGAATTTTTTACATATGTTCAGAAAGGACATAATTGTTGCAGAAATCAGTACACCAGAGAAAGATGTGTTAATTACATGTAAAAATATAATGCAATTGCAGGCAATGTGTTGATGATAAAAAGTTTATATAGAGGATAAAGAAATAGTATGTGGTGTAACGTTGAATGTAATGTATTGCAGAAAAGTGATGTGCATATAAATTGGCATCACTGTTTAAACTAGTAGTAGAGCGTCCGCAGTGAAATCTTTTCAAATCTTTCCAGAACCACAGTATTTCACATACTGCGTAGTTTAGTACCGTACCGCTGGTATAATACAGTGGTACACATCCCCTTAAGGTATTTTTTGGGGTGGTGTACCACTGGTATTATACCAGTGGTACATAACCCCTTTAAAATACCACGGAGTTGTGTACCTCTGGTATAATACCAGTGGTACACAACCCCGCAGTATTTTAGCAGCAGTACACAACCCTGGTATAATACCACAGTGTTGTGTACCGCACAGCATATTTTCACTGTGATTGGCCACGGTATCATTACCGCGGCCACTCACAGCTTTGCAGAGCAGATCCGGGAGTCTGGATCCTTGCTGCAGTATTATAAAATACCGCACAGTGTATTTTCACTGTGATTGGTGGCAGTATCATAACCGCGGCCAAGCACAGCTTTGCAGCGTGGATCCGGGAGTCCAGATCCACGCTGTGGTATTTTAAAATTCCTAAGTTCTGTGATTGGTCCTGGGATATTACCACAGCATATTATCCTACAGAACTTTATAAAATCAAAAACACTGTGTCAACATTCACTGGCAACATTCAAATGATTGAGATTATTTAAAAATTGAAAGTTTTTTTGTGTGTTGCTGAGAAAAAGACAGTGATATAATTCTATAGTCACTATACTTGTATGCTGATAAAATTCCTGTCTGCTGCCAGACTCAAACCGGGAACTGTTGCACCATGAACTATGCCTCAACTGGATAGGCTGCTGCGCACTTGACGCAGGACCTAGATGATGTGGGGTCATATAACTTTTTTCTTCAACACCTAGGCCACAGACACAACCTCCACTAGTAGTAGAGCATCCGCAGTGCACTGAGTGTAAATATTTTCTTTTCTTTCATTTACACTAACACTAGTATATGAGTAACAAATAACTGATCAAAGGCACCGGTGGCCAGGTACAACTTTGTTGTCACTTCTTGCATTTGAAGCATTTGAACGAGCACTTCTTGCTCTCAAGGAGGCCTGGCAGCAGCCGGGCTGTGCAGCTGATATGTTTCAAGGTCTCCAAGAAGCAACTCTTGTGTGTTTTGATGCATCTTGTACAGCTGTGCGTTCAGCATGAGTACAACAAGATAGCCATGGCCTTTGTTCACTTTTGTGCGTCTGCTTGAGCTCCTGTTGATCAGTCCCATCGGTAGCGGTCAAAGAAGCTGAGGCCCTTGGCTGTCATTGCTGTTGCTGCAGGCAACCGCATGCCGCACCTTGCCCCCACTGCGGCTCTGGCTGTGGCAGAAGCGGAATTGTTGGATCCACAAATTGTGCCCACCAGCAGCGCACAGCAGGATTGTGCATCAGCAATGTTAGATAATCAAACATCCATTCAAGTGATCACAATGGAAGCACTCAAATATCAGATGCCCAATGCATGCGGGACAGACCAACCCACAGACTCAACAAATCGAGCGGTTTGTTCAGATGATCATTCAGATCCAGTATCACCTTTGGAAATGTGCTTCCTTGCAGCTTGTCGTATGTAACTGCAAATGCCAGCTTGTATGCAAAGGAGTCAAACTTAATTTGTGCACCATTCAGCCGCACAAATGAATTCCGGTGCACTCAACAGCTAGTAGAACAACGCTGTGGACTGAAGGAAAAAAGATGCTATGACACAGTCTTACCAAAGCTGTATGGTTACTTTGCTGAAGGAGCACCGGCAACACTCACCAAGAACCTGGCGCCAAACAAAGGTCTGTTTGTGTGGCTGAATGGTGCGCAAATCTAGTTTGAGTGAGGAGATGCACAAAAGTGAACAAAGGCCATGGCTATCTTGTTGTACTTGTGCAAAACGCACAGCTGTACATGATGCATCCAAATGCACAAGAGCTGCTTCTTGGAGACCTCAAAACGTATGAGCTGCACCGCCCGGCTGCTGCCAGGCCTCCTTGAGAACAAGAAGTGCTTGTTCAAATGCTTCAAATGCAAGAAGTGACAACAAAGTTGTACCTGGCCGCCGGTGCCTTTGATCAGTTTGTTACTCTTATATTAGTTTTAGTGTAAATAAAAGAAAAGAATTACACTTGGTGCACTGCCAACACTCTACTATTAGATAATAATAATAGATAAATTTCCGCCTACCTAATCAGTTTGGCGGCGGATGATAACACTTCAAAAAGGTTTCTTCCAAAACAGAAGATTTTGCAATTGGTTACAAATTGAATTTTTAGCAAACTTTCAAAGTTGGCTAAACAGGACAAAAAACAGAAATGGGAATTCACAATTTTCAGTTTAGCTCATTCTAACTTTTTTTATTTTAATGTAATTTTTAAAAATTTTCAGGGGGTGTATGTGCACAGATGTTATATAATTTTAAATATTTATTGGTTTTTCAAAGATGTTTAAAATTAAATGATTTAAAATTCAAAAACTGAAAGCATTTTTTCCACTTCTCGTACAATTTTCAAAAAAAGTTTCACATTTGTTATTGTATCTCACCCAATTTTGTAGCTTTTTCAAAATTTCAACAAAGGAAATTTTGAAAACATCTGTGCACTCACAATACTTGGAGAAATTTGGAAATTGATTCAAAATTCAATTTGTGACACATTTTTAAAGCCCATGAGTGAGGAAACAAAAAATTCCTGAGTTTCAAGTTTAACTCATAATAATATTTAATTTCTTGGAGCAATTTCAATTTTAAAATTCATTTTTAATTATTTCATTTTTTTATTTCATTTTCAATACAGAATGAAATTCTACAAATTTTTTTTCTTTGAAATAACTTCAACATTCAGCAAGTTATGATTAAAAATAAGTTAAGATTCTGAAAAAATTGTGCCTGGGGGTGGGATTGAACCAACTTTTCACCTAGTGAAAAGTCACCTTTCACTTCACAAAAAAAAAAATGTCAGATCTGGGATTTGAACTCACGCCTGCAGAACTAGACTGTGACCTGAATGCAGCACCTCCTTAGACCATCCTGACAACTTACTGTACTGGATACGTTTTTTTTAGGTGAGATAAACAGTAAAAAAAAGACCACAGACACACCTTACACGACGTCCTTATTAAACCCCCCCAAACCCTTTAGGATCCTCAGTTACACTGTGGACGTTGATACACATACATTCCCCATGTGCTGCAATACTGTATAGAGTATAGCATACAAAGATGAATTATTAATATTGAAAAATAATTTATACTAAAAAATTTCAAGTATAAAGTGCATATTAAACTATATAGTATACTGCATACAGGTATAGTATACTTTATATTCAACATCAACGTAAAAGTTGACAACAAACATAAGTTTTGAATTTTTAGAGATTTCTAGGATCTCAATTAAATTAAAATCCGGAAACAAAAAATGCCTCATTAGAAAAAATTGTACAAAGTTCAAAAAGTGCAAAAAAGTGTTTCTTATTTTCTGAACACAAATGTGTGAATGATTGTTGATTTTTGAACTCTACATAAATCGGTAAACTACACCAACCCTGAAATATTTTTATTTCAAAAATTAGTAAATAGGCAAATAACGCCAAAAAAATTTTATAAGGCAAAGTACTCCAAGAAAAATATTTCTAGCATTGTAAAACACTGAAGAGGCAAATTTTGTCAAGACGAATTTTTTAGTGAATTAGAAAATTCTAAATGTCTAATTCTAATTCTAATTTTAAAAAAATTGGAAAAGGCAAATTATGCCAAAAAAAGGTTTTTTCTGTGTTGTGAATTTTTGTGAAGAATACAAAAGGGCAAATTTTGCCAGAAAAAATTTGTGCATGTGTTTATAATTTTTTATTAGGGATATTTTGCAAGACACCAGGAAGTAAAAAAGAGGATAAAAAAAAACAGAGTCTTTTAGATAGCAAAGAACGCATGGGGGAAAAATCCTGTGAAAAAAGGGCCCAATTCCATATTTTCTTTTTGTGGTTCACCAAAATTTCATATCAGCTAACTTTTTCCAAAAAAAGGACTATCAATTCCCCAAAAATCTTTATTTTCTCCCAGCACTGTTCTTGAATTAATTTACTTGTTATGTTGTGGACCCTCATGTTCTCCCTCAGGTTTATACCCTTTTGCATTTAACATTCTTTGCTCCAAAACATTCTTGAAGGTGTTCCCATCTGAAATTATTTCCCCCTAATACTGAATACCAATGATGCCCAAAATTGCGCTATTTTTTTAAACTTGTAACAATCCCCAATGCATATTTCGCTTTTACATTCCTTTGATTTTTTAGATCCCAAACAAGTATTTCCCTGAGGATGATCAATTTTACAAGTGTGAAAAGTGAATCAAATGTTAGGTTTCTCAAATGAAGAACGGTTGCATCTCTTGATCAGAAATACATCCCATCTTCATTTTTATCAACTCACAACCAAGACTTTGTGAATTTCTTCCCCAGAAAAAGGCTACTGTGATTACTGCATTGAGGTGTTTGAAGCAGAAAAAAGTGGCATCTCACCCCATGGTAGTGAGATGCCACATTTTTCCCCTTCTCTCACCTCATGGAGATGCCATACCATTAAATTGGCTGGGCACCTTCAATACCCCAATCTTACTGAGATTTCTCCCCACAAAGTTCTATACTGTATTTCCCATATTCCCTTGTCTAACTAGAGTCACTTGCCAGGAATGCAGTCAGGTGTCAGTCAGAATGCAGTCTACATTCCTGTTCAAACCTGCCTATACAATTCCACTTTCAGGTGAATGTTCAAGTCTGAGCCCTGTGGTCCCCAAAATCCATACAAATGTTTAAAATCTACATGTCCCACTTCCATATTTTCTTTTTGTGGTTCACCAAAGTTTCTTATCAGCTAACTTTTTCGAAAAAAAAAGACTATCAATTCCCACAAGAATATTTATTTTCTCCCAGCACTGTTCTTGAATCATATTACTTGTTCTATTGTGTACCCTCATGTTCTCCCTCATGTTTATACCCATTTGCATTTAACATTCTTTGCTCCAAAAAATTCTTGAAGGTGTTCCCATCTGAAATTATTTCCCCCTAATACTGAATACCAATGATGCCCAAAATGGCGCTATTTTTCAACTTGTAACAATCCCCAATGCACATTTTGCTTTTACATTCCTAAAAAAATTCTTGAAGGTGTTCCCATCTGAAATTATTTCCCCCTAATACTGAATACCAATGATGCCCAAACTGGCGCTATTTTTCAACTTGTAACAATCCCCAATGCACATTTTGCTTTTACATTCCTTTGATTTTTAGATCTGTAACAATCCCCAATGCATATTTTGCTTTTACATTACTTTGATTTTTTAGATCCAAAACAAGTGTTTCCCTGAGAATGATCAATTTTACAGGTGTGAAAAGTGAAACAAATGTGAGGTTTCTCAAATGAAGAAGGCTTGCATCTCTTGATCAGAAATACATCCCATCTTCATTTTTATCAACTCACAACCAAAGCTTTGTGAATTTCTTCCCCAGAAAAAGGCTACTGTGATTACTGCCATGAGGTGTTTGAAACAGAAAAAAGTGGCATCTTACCCCATGGTAGTGAGATGCCACATTTTTCCCCTTCTCTCACCTCATGGGGATGCCATACCATTCAATTGGCTGGGCACCTTCAAAACCCCAATCTTACTGAGATTTCTCCCCAAAAAGATTGAAACTGTATTTCACTTATTCCCTTGCCTAACTAGAGTCACTTGCGTAATGGTGTTTATGTCAGTCAGAATGCAGTCTACATTCATGTTCAAACCCACTTATGCAATCCCACTTTCAGCAGAATGTTCAAGTATAAGCCCTGTGGTCCCAGAAACCAATACAAATCTTTAAATCGACATGTCCCACTTTTATATTTTCTCTTTGTTATTCACCAAAGTTTCTCATCAGCTAACTTTTTCCAAAAAAATGACTATCAATTCCCACAAGAATATTTATTTTCTCCCAGCACTGTTCTTGAATCATATTACTTGTTCTATAGTGGACCCTCATGTTCTCACTCATGTTTATAACCATTTGCATTTAAAATTCTGTGCTCCAAAAAAATTCTTGAAGGTGTTCCCATCTGAAATTATTTCCCCCTAATACTGAATACCAATGATGCCCAAAATTTTGCTATTTATTTACCCTGTAACAATCGCGGATGCATATTTTACTCTTACATTACTTTGATTTTTCAGATCCAAAACAAGTGTTTCGCTGAGAATGATCAATTTTACAGGTGTGAAAAGTGAAACAAATGTGAGGTTTCTCAAATTCCACAAAAATATTTATTTTCTCCCAGCACTGTTCTTGAATCATATTACTTGTTCAATTGTGGACCCTCATGTTCTCCCTCATATTTATGCCCATTTGCATTTAACATTCTTTGCCCCAAAAAATCTTGAAGGTGTTCCCATCTGAAATTATTTCCCCCTAATACTGGATACCAATGATGCCCAAAATTGCGCTATTTTTTAACTTGTAACAATCCCCAATGCACATTTTGCTTTTACATTCCTTTGATTTTTTAGATCCAAAACAAGTGTTTCCCTGAGAATGATCAATTTTACAGGTGTGAAAAGTGAAACAAATGTGAGGTTTCTCAAATGAAGAAGGCTTGCATCTCTTGATCAGAAATACATCCCATCCTCATTTTTATCAACTCACAACCAAGGCTTTGTGAATTTCTTCCCCAGAAAAAGGCTATTGATCAGAAATACATCCCATCTTCATTTTTATCAACTCACAACCAAGGCTTTGTGAATTTCTTCCCCAGAAAAAGGCTACTGTGATTACTGCCATGAGGTGTTTGAAACAGAAAAAAGTGGCATCTCACCCCATGGTAGTGAGATGCCACATTTTTCCCCTTCTCTCACCTCATGGGGATGCCATACCATTCAATTGGCTGGGCACCTTCAAAACCCCAATCTTACTGAGATTTCTCCCCACAAAGATTGAAACTGTATTTCACTTATTCCCTTGTCTAACTAGAGTCACTTGTGTAATGGTGTTTATGTCAGTCAGAATGCAGTCTACATTCATGTTCAAACCCACCTATGCAATCCCACTTTCAGCAGAATGTTCAAGTCTAAGCCCTGTGGTCCCCAAAATCAATACAAATTTTTAAATCGACATGTCCCACTTCCATATTTTCTCTTTGTTATTCACCAAAGTTTCTTATCAGCTAACTTTTTCCAAAAAAATGACTATCAATTCCCACAAGAATATTTATTTTCTCCCAGCACTGTTCTTGAATCATATTACTTGTTCTATTGTGGACCCTCATGTTCTCACTCATGTTTATACCCATTTGCATTTAACATTCTTTGCTCCAAAAAATTCTTGAAGGTAGGCATCTCACCCCATGGTAGTGAGATGCCACATTTTTCCCCTTCTCTCACCTCATGGGGATGCCATACCATTCAATTGGCTGGGCACCTTCAAAACCCCAATCTTACTGAGATTTCTCCCCACAAAGTTTTAAACTGTATTTCCCATATTCCCTTGTCTAACTAGAGTCACTTGCCTAATGGTGTTCCAATCTTACTGTCAGTCAGAATTCAGTCTACAATCATGTTCAAACCCACATATCCAATCCCACTTTCAGCAGAATGTTCAAGTCTAAGCCCAGTGGTCCCCAAAATCAATACAATTTTTTAAATCTACATGTCCCACTTCCATATTTTCTTTTTGTGGTTCACCGAAGTTTCTTATCAGCTAACTTTTTCGAAAAAAATGACTATCAATTCCCACAAGAATATTTATTTTCTCCCAGCACTGTTCTTGAATCATATTACTTGTTCTATTGTGGACCCTCATGTTCTCACTCATGTTTATAACCATTTGCATTTAACATTCTTTGCTCCAAAAAAATTCTTGAAGGTGTTCCCATCTGAAATTATTTCCCCCTAATACTGAATACCAATGATGCCCAAAATTGCGCTATTTCTTTACCCTGTAACAATCCCCAATGCATATTTTGCTTTTACATTACTTTGATTTTTTAGATCCAAAACAAGTGTTTCCCTGAGAATGATCAATTTTACAGGTGTGAAAAGTGAAACAAATGTGAGGTTTCTCAAACTGTAACAATCCCTGATGCATATTTTGCTTTTACATTACTTTGATTTTTTAGATCCAAAACAAGTGTTTCCCTGAGAATGATCAATTTTACAGGTGTGAAAAGTGAAACAAATGTGAGGTTTCTCAAATGAAGAAGGCTTGCATCTCTTGATCAGAAATACATCCCATCTTCATTTTTATCAACTCACAACCAAGGCTTTGTGAATTTCTTCCCCAGAAAAAGGCTACTGTGATTACTGCCATGAGGTGTTTGAAACAGAAAAAAGTGGCATCTAAATGAAGAAGGCTTGCATCTCTTGATCAGAAATACATCCCATCTTCATTTTTATCAACTCACAACCAAGGCTTTGTGAATTTCTTCCCCAGAAGAAGGCTACTGTGGTTACTGCCATGAGGTGTTTGAAACAGAAAAAAGTGGCATCTCACCTCATGGTAGTGAGATGCCACATTTTTCCCCTTCTCTCACCTCATGCGGATGCCATACCATTCAATTGGCTGGGCACCTTCAAAACCCCAATCTTACTGGGATTTCTCCCCACAAATTTTTATATTTTATTTCCCATATCCCCTTGTCTAACCAGTGTTACTTGCTGAATGGTGTTCATGTCAGTCAGAATGCAGTCTACATTCATGTTCAACCCTGCCTATGCAATCAAACTTTCAGCTGAATGTTCGAGTCTGGGCCCTGTTGTCCCCAACATTGATACAATCTTTTAAATCTACATGTCCTGCTTCCATATTTTCTTTTTGTGGTTCACCAAAATTTCTTATCAGCTAACCTTTTCCAAATAAAAAGGACTATAAATTCTCACAAAAATCTTTATTTTCTCCCAGCACTGTTCCTGAATTAATTTACTTGTTACATTGTGGACCCTCATGTTCTCCCTCATGTTTATACTCATTTGAATATAATGTTCTTTGCTCCAAAAAATTCTTGAAGGTGTTCCCATCTGAAAATATTTCCCCCTAATACTGAATACCAATGATGCCCAAAATAGTGCTATTTTTTAGCTTGTAACAATCCCCTATGCATATTTTGCTTTTACATTCCTCTGATTTTTTACCTCCAAAACAATTGTTTCCCTGCGGAAGATTAACTTTACAGGTGTAAAAAGTGAATCAAATGTGAGGTTCTGTGAGGTTCTGAATCTGTTGAAGAGGTTCATAGCAGAAGAGGTTTCTCAGTCCAAAACTATTTTAGCAGACAACATTTAGAGTTTGCTGAGAGCCAAAGAGGCTTTGAACAAAATTGGTTTGCAGCTGAGGAAGTTTTGAGCTGAAATGGTTACAAGCGGGAAAGGCTTGGAGCTGAAGACAATTCCTTCCAAAGAGGTATGGAATTGGATAGGTTTGCAGCTGTAGACATTCAGAGATGAAGAGTTTTAGGTCTAAAAAGTTCTTGAACTGAAGAGGTTTGAAACTGAACTGAAATAGATAGAAGATCAGAGGATTGGATCTTGGAAAATTTTCAGCCAAGAGGTGTTCATCTGGAGAGATTTACAGCTACATAGACATTTAGAGTAGAAGATTTTTATACCTGAAAAGTTCTTCAGCAGGAGAGTTTTGATACTAAAGAGGTCCAGAATGGAATGCATTTATATGTGAAGAGGTTGGGGATTGAAAAAGGATTCTTGCTGAAGAGGTTCATAGCAGAAGAGGTTTCTCAGTTCAAAACATTTTTAGCAGCCAACATTTACAGTTGAGGAGATTCAGAGTCAGGTATGATTGGACATTAGTTGGTGAGAGCCAAAGAGGCTTTGAACAAAATAGGTTTGCAGCTAAATAAGTTTTAAGCTGAATAGGTTTCAAGCTGGAAATGCTTTGAGCTAAAAAGGATAGAAGCTGAAGAAGAATTATGCCAAAGAGGTTTCAAACTGAATAAGTTTGCCGCTGTGTACATCTAGAGCTGAGGAGTTCTATATCCACAAAGTTCTTGCACTAAAGAGATTTGAAACTGAACTGAAAGGATAGAAGATCAGTGGATTGGATCTTGGAAAATTATCAGCCAAGAGGTTTGTATCTGGAGAGATTTACAGCTGCATAGACATTTGGAGTGGAAGAGTTTTAGATCTGAAACGTTCTTCAGCAGAAGAGTTTTGAAAGAAGTTCCAAATAAATGCATTTCTTGAATATTTGCACAAGGAGTATAACATATATTTCAGCTTCAGAATGAATTTTATTTTTATTTTTGTGAGATGTGAGATGTTTCCCAAGAAAAAAAACTGTTGTTAACTACAAAGGTATGTTTGTTAGTCAAGGAATTTCGCCTGGAACCTAAAGTTTGCTAAACCATCAGGGGTTCACCGTACTGAATCTATTCTAATTCAAGAGACCCAGGTGTCGGGAATTGGTGTGGTCATTTTAATCAAGCACCTCCTCATGGAGAACTCGTGGACAACCCATTCCTCAGCTAGATAGAAATAACGTCTCACTCACGCAAAGCGCTCATCAGCGATGGGCCATGAGAGATCTCCACGCAGCAGAGACGACGTTCCTCAATCCTCCTCAGATGCTGAAGCGGTCGAAATTTGTAGCCGTGGCATTGGCAGCCGTCGAATCCGTAGCGCGAAGTACGAACTGCACAATGAACCAAATGTCCACTTCACCATGAACGCACGTTGCAGTCGAACCGATAGCGCGAAATACTGCACAATTAACCGAATATCCACTTCACCATGAAATCTAAAAGATTGAAATTTCTTACATTCCACAAGGCACCAATTCCTGTGCATAAAAATAAAAAACCCATTCAAATGCAATAGAATTGAATGTTCACTTCAACAAGGAATACGAAGTGCAAAATCCTCTGGAATTCGAAGATTGATCCAAGATACTTTTTTCAAACAATCACTAAAATGATTACTGTAATAAAATGAAGAAGAATTGAACGAACATTCACCACAGTTTCAACAATCGAGCACAAACTGTTCTGTCCATCACGAGTAAAAGTATCACTGGAATACTGTGCAATCAACCCAACGATTGAATAGAAGGTACGAAAATTCCTCAAATTCGACTGGTTCAGTATAACAATAAAAAGCGTATACAAACACCCTGCACGGAAATATTCAATGCATGTAGGAACACAGAGCACAAAAGTCCTCTGAATTCCAGAAATTAATCTGTGAAACACCAGCAAAAGTTGCATTCAAATGGAAGACCAAGGGTCAACTGATATTCTTGACAACCAGTTAACCGTCAAACCCTTCTCCCTAATTCATGAATGCCATTCTCCAAGGGCAACCTTCAACTGACCATTCAAAAAACGAAAAACGAAGGCTACGGGGATTGTAAAAACCATAATCCCTAAATTCCTTTCTCAAAAATTCCTTTTGCCAAAATCCCATTCAAAATGCTTCTCATTGTGGATTCAGGTTGTCTTTTTTCAAAAAATGTTCTGCACATCGGAAATTCGGGCTTTTGAAGAATGAAAGCATTTTAAGGAAATGCACGAAGAAAATTATACGAGAGACATCAAAAATTTCCCAGAGACAAAATTATAGGAGACATTGCTGATTTTGTAAACCTGTTGTAACTCTTTTAAATCTCCCATTAGACTGTTGTAACCCTGAGTAACCCTTGATTTCACTTGAAGGAAATTTAAATATTGTGGCACATTTCATTCATTTGGAAAAATGAAATGCAGAAAGGGAATTTAAAAATGTTGCTGGGGAAATGCAGAACAGTGTTTTTTACGTTGCTCTTCATATTTGGAACTTCTTCCTGGGCATAATCTGCAATTATTGATGAAACCTGACTGCTTGGCCAGGCTTCTGCTATATGTTTGTGTGGGTGACTATACAGTGCCTACTGACTGGACAAACTTTCTAATGACTCTGTGATAGAATCTCCGGGTCAATTCCACAGGCAAAAACATTTGTTTCATCCATGTATACAAATGAAGAGATCCTTCAAATGCATTAATAGATAGCTCCCATTTCTTAAACCTTAAAAAAATGCAAATTCACAGTGGTGAAAAAGAGAATGCAAAACATTTTCTAAATCACTTCCAAAATTCCATTTTTTTTCTTATCAATAAATTATTAAAAATTTTTTCCTGCACCAAACTTCACATTCAATGAGGTTAGATGCACAGAGAAGTTAAAAAAAATTTTCATTTTTCTTGTTGAAAAGCTAAAAGGTACTGTATTTAGGAATAGGAAAAAATTAAGAGATTTTTGGGAGCTAGTGATTGAGTGATCAATAACTGTGTTTCTTTTCAAACAAAAGGGAAGGGTGAAAGAATACTGTAATTTTTTTATTGAGAGGAATTTCCCCTCTTTGGAACATGAGGGCATTTTTCTATTCCCCCTTTGTTTAAAGAAAGGGGAATAAAAAAACAGTTATATTCCTTGACTGCAGAACACCTGCACTTTATGCACTTTGCATACATGAAACAATGAAGCATACTGATCAGTCTCTGGATTACAAAATTTGAAAAAAGTCTCATTTCTTGCTTATAAATTCTATAATCAGCTAAATTTCTCAAGCATTAAATATTTTCAAACTTCTCTGCACATTTAACCCTATTACATATTTCAACCTGGGGAAATTTTCTCCTTCACCCAACTTTGAATTTTCACAGAGATTAAAGGTGCAGAGAAGTTTCTTGAATTTTCAGGTTTTTTGTTCAAAACATCTAGCAAATTCAAGACTTTTACAATCAAAAATTGAAACTTTTTTTATTTTTTTGGTGAAGGGCTAATAACTGGACTTCATTGTTCAATGTACTGAGATTGCATAAAGTGCAGGGGATGCGCAGTTTCAGAATGTCAGTGTTTTTGAATGTTCACCCCTCAAAGAGGAATATATCCCGGTCTTTTACAAAAAAAGAGGGTGTTTTTTGAATTTTCCCTCTTTTTCTGCAGGGAATGTGGGAAATTTTCCTCATTTTTAAAAAAATGAAGTGCTTGTTGAATGTTTCCCCTTTCTTGAAAAATGAGGAAGGATTTTTTACAGGGTTTTTTTTTATTTTTCCCTATTCTTGAAGAAAATTGGAGGATTAAAAAATTGTGAAATTCTGTATTTGTAGAACACCTGCATTTTTGCATTGTCCATACATTGAACAGTGAAATACAGTTACAGTAAGAGACACTCAATAAAATTCTTCAAAGTTCTTGTTTTTTGTTATTATTTTTTTAATTTCCCAGATTTTTCAACAAAAATGTGAAAATTCATAAAACCTCTCTGTGCATCCAACCTGGTTACAATGTGAAGATTGATGCAGGAGAAACTTTTCATTTTTAGATTTGAAAAAAATTGCATTTTGGAAGAAGTGATTTCTCCCTTCTAGGAGAAAAGGAATTATCCTTTTCATCTCTGTCAATGTGCACTGCTTTTAAGGTTTGAAAATGGGAAGTGTAGATAACTTCATGGTACTTCCAATGCAGTTCAAACATTGCAGTTTGCTGCCAAATTAACTTTTTGGCTACTTTTAAGAGATGAAAATTTGAGAAGCTAACAGAAACCAGAATTCAATTTTTTCAGTTTACCTCATTCTTATTTTGTTTCTTTTGATGCAACTTGCAAATTATTTGTAGGGTGTCATGTAAGCAGATGTTCCACAAGTTTTTTTTGTATAAAAAAATATTGCATTGAAAATTGTAAGCTAAAATTGAAGTAGAAAAAACATTTTTGGTAGTTTTATTCACAATTTTCAAATTTTTCTATGTTAAATCTGTCAAACTAACAGATTTTTGCATGTTTAAAAAGAGGAAATTCAGAAAACTCAAAGACATTCGTAAAATTGGTTCAAAATTGAATTTTTACAAATTTCCAAAATTTGCAGAGCAGGAAATGAAATTTTGAGAACCATTTGAAAAATTCAACATGTGGGTTTCAAGCAGTTTCTATTTTGCGTTAAGGATCATCTGGTTTACAGACAAGTCTGCAGAAAAAATTTAGTCTGTAACCTGGGGGACAACTGTGTAGTTATGTGGTAGTTTCCCACCATCCATTTTCAAAAAGTGAAGTGCTCAATTTAACCAAATATGCTGTATTTGAAAGCAACTTTCTATATTTCTATGTGTTCCACTTGTTTGTTGAGCAAGTGAGAGTGGTTGCAGTTATTGAAATGAAGTAAGAGACAATATCAATTCCACTGCGGTTCAGTTGGGAATTGGTTATTAAATTTCGGAAGGAAGATAAAAATGCTTGTAATATTGTATTTATAGCAATGAAAGAAACTGTGTGCATGTGATAATTACCATTGAGGACAAATGAAAAAGGGAATGAATATGCTGATTGGGATGGGCCTTGAATGCTTCACTGATGGAGAGGCTTTCCATTCAAGGACACCAGAATTGTTCCAACAGTAAGTTGTTACTGGAAGAGTGGAGACAATTTGATGTAACAGACTCATCCATAAATTACAGGTATTAACAGGCTTTGCACTGGATCGGAACTCCTGAATTTGAACATGTTTTTCAACTACCTACTTGAGAATTTGGAAGGAAAGAGCAGTATACAAAGGTTTTATGGACATTGTGACTCAATTCATTCTTGATGATCAGAAAATACCATGTTTTGAATGCACTAGTACTTGGACACTAGATGAAATGGACCAGTGAAACATTTGATCTTCTGATGAATCATTGGTGTGTCATTGGTCTACTAATGGTTCGAGTAAATGAAAATGTGGTTTCTGTACCTTGAAACGGTACATCTAATCATAATCTAATTTTTCAAGATCAAATCCCAGCAAACATCAGAAAATTGAAAGAACAATTCAACAAGAATCAGAGAAGTGGATGCATGAACTCTTAGTACAGTATAAGCCAAACACTTCATGAACAACAATTTAAGGGGTCTGGGGACATTGAATGGGTTTTGAAAAAGTCGGTATTAATCCAATGCAATGCAATTCTTGACTAGAGGCAGCCCTGAAGTTCAGGAACCACTCATTTAGGATCACGATAACAGCACATTCACATTTTGAACACTATGAAGTCCCTGGATAGGTACTCCACATGTTCATTAAAGGTGAGTCCACAAGCCATTCCTCATCCAGAACTGTGACCTTCGCCTGCAAAAAAAAAGTCAAAATGCACGCAGTCAATATAGGGTCAGGATATTCCGAAAGAAGCGACAACTCTGCCAGAAAACATTTTCTCTACTAAAAATGCGAATAATCCAATACGGCAGTATCATGCATGACCTTTGGTTGATCATTACAAGTTTTCCATGCACACAGAATGCTTTTGACTTCTGAGATCACATTTCTGAAATATCTGAACTATTCTGTATGAAATTATGTTGTATGATCTACATGGACAAAACAATTCTTTGAAAAAAACTGAATACAAACATGCCCAGCAAGTTGTAAACCCCACAATCCCAAAAATTTGAATTCAGACATGAAAATTTACATTGCACTCCACAAAGGTTTCGTTTGGTTTTTGCAAAATTTTCTGCGTTACCTAATGCACAGAGAAAAAAACTAACCTCGCGTACAGACTATCAATCAATTCTCAAGGAAAGTGAAAACTTCGAATAGTTGACTCACCATGATGAAAACTCCTGAAGGGCCAAAACACCAGCAAAAATGCAGAATTGATGAATTATTTCCAAAATCAATCTGGACCCCATTTCAAGACTGGAGAGGTCATCAACTATCATCAAAGGTATCAAAGCTGGAATAATTTTCAGCTTCAAAACAGTAAATTGATTCTAGAAAGACGAGCATCCCCTTTCAAGTTGTCATCTTCCCGATTCTCCCTCTAATTAGAAAAATAAAATACATTTCCAATTTTCTCTTCATTGGTTAGCTTCTCGTAAGTAACACTGACTGAAGCCAAATGATGTAAATCTTTCTAGGGTTTCAAGCATGAAGAACGTGTCAGACGGAGTCTTGCGGTCAGATGGAATCGAACACCTCAACTAATACCACTATTTATCCATGAACGAGTCCAGCACCTCATGTTCTAGTGTGCCAGCGTTTCGTTTCAAATTCTTGCTTGGGAATTGCATTATCCCCAGATCCATTGGAAAATGAATTGAGCGCCATGCTGACAGCTAGGACACGACAACGCGGGTTCTGAAAACTTGTGAGGCTCTAGATTTTTTGTTGAATCACAAATTTCCAGCGCTTGTGGTGAGGATTTTCTTCAGATGCCTCTGAAAATGTGAGGGGTAAGCAGCAATGGCAAAAAATAAATGCTAGATTTCAATGAAATGCCTTCAGAGGCACATTGGGCTTCAGTTGCATGCAATGTCCACTGGTGTTGAGTTGCTGAACTGCTCATCCTGCCTAACTTCATACAAGTTTGTAAACATGACCGGAAACACGTGTCTGCATGGAAATTCCGCAGTCCCCAACTGAAGAGGTCCTCCTAAAGGATGAATGAACGTTGCTCGGAGAGTTTCCGTACTTACGTCTAGTGCCTTCCAATGGATATTGCTGGCCTGCCAAATCCAACAGATTTCAATTTAAAAATCTCTTGGAAAGGACTTCCGACAAAGCATCATGATTAATGCAATCTATTGCATTAACACAGGAACATCACGGACAGCACAAGAAATGTTGAGAAATGATAATTTATTCCAACTGACACTCATTGATTCTCCAACGGGCACGTATCACTAGAAAATGTCTTTTTATGTCCACCTGTGTCAGACTCGTCGTCTTGTGGCAGATTCTGCATGTCAATTTTACCTCATAAGAGCCTTTCACGAGGACATGGCACACAAAAAGGGTACAGTTGTCTCACAAAGCTTTACCACGTCAGCAATATATATAGAAGCATCATAAGCTTGTACACCTACGAAGTGAGGTCAAGGTAAGGTCAGTTTTACTCTCATACAGATCTCAATAGATGAGAATTGTAGGCAAAGCTTCTGGAATTCTGTTCACTAATGATGAAAAAAAGGCTCGAAGCCCAAGACATATGAATTGCATTAGAGTTAGGTAGTGTTGAGATGTGACCCATCCAACATTTGTACAACCTCAAGCAGAACTAGTTTGACACAGACACTTGTTAATTCCAGAATTTTGTTCAATAGAAGATATTTTGTAAAGCGTGAGCAAGAAATTTCATGTCCACGAGATTTGAGTCCACGGACTCAAAATTTCTTCCAAATTCATGGTCCTGATTCCATGTTCTGAAGTATCTGAACAATGGGGATGTGTAGTCTTCTAGGAGGAAAATCGTCTCCAAGAAAACAAATTACGAGGTATTCTTTGGTTGGTAATTGCTCCAACCGTCAAGAATGAGCAAGCTACACAACTCTAAGAAATATACGAAGATCCGAATCAAAACTCTACCCCAGTGCGACAATTGGCTTCTGAAGAATCCTATACAAATTGCGTACAAATGTGGGAAGAAAATACCTCACGATTGAGGATAAGTTTCATTTCATTTGAAACTCAACAACTCTGTCAGCATTTTCCTTGAAAAAATTGGAGTGCTTTCTCTTGGTTCAACCAGCATAATACTTCAGAAAATCAACTGAGACGCACAAATTTTGCAACTGAACTCAGGACAATCAATCGGAGTGCTGGGTTCATAACAATTCACCTAAATTCAAACGATATTAGATGGACATACCACTTCATCCTCTGTTTTCAAGGAGTCTTTAAAGCAAGGTGATTGCTTTCTCCCGCATTGTACATGTTTTTTCATGGTACTCTACATTTAGTTTCGGACGATTTGCCCTTATCTAAGCATGTTTCTTCCAAGACTTGTTCACTTCAGTGGCGACCAAGGCTACTCATTCATCAGTATGTTTTTTAAGGCTCATGATGAGGGGCCCTGGAAGTACAAGAGAAAATCAATCTACAGCATAAACATTGAATCCTCAACTCGCCCCAAAGTAAATCATACCTACTTCAGTCTTCTTCAGGATTTCTGCGGCCGGTCTTTTATGAAGGAAACAATGAAGACAGCGGAGCCATTGCAAGCGATCAGAATCTGGATCGGCGGCCAACGTTTTACAACGCTCCATTTCCTTTAATTTGATTACTCCCTAAAAATTGCCAGCTATAGAGCACATCGTGGCGATTAGTCGGAAAATATAACTCACGGCGAGATCTTCAATTCTCGTTTGCCTAAACTTGCTTATTTTCGGCTTTGGAACATCAGATCCGATGTCGAGTCTCAACGGTTTTCTGCAGCTTGCATGAACTTGACACTGTACAGTATTTATAATACGGTCATAGTACCGAAAAGAAACAGCTTTCTTCGAATCAAGTCGACATACTTTGACTACTCCAAACAACGTCTGTGAAGTGTACAATGACAAGAAGAAAACATCGGATTTTACATCGGAAACACTAATATATTAATACAGTCGCTCAAAATTTAAGCTTCAGGCCCATATCCGCATAATCATAATGATATCAAATCTTCGAGCTGAGTGCTTTGGTAAGCACAAAGTTCATCACATAGACAAGAACAAATGAAAAAGCTAAGATTATACATACCTGTGAAAATTCGGCGCAGACGAGTTCGCTAATCCACTAGAAACGCTTCGACGTCCACTGAGCTTCAATGCTAAGTCACGACATTCTCAATTATCGCATGAACTTCAGTGGAATCAGAAAGCCCTAGATGAAGCAGAAAGAACAAGGCGTGAATACCAACCGGATGAACCTTGGAGAATGGCCCCGAATGCACGGTCTTTCAGCCCCATATCCGCGAAATGCTCACCCCTTTGAGCTAAGTGCTTTGGTAAGCACAATGTTCGTCACAGAAGTGAAAATCAACTCGAGAGCAGAGTTGGTACAAACCTGAAAAAAATCGGCGCAGACCAGTTCACTGATTCACAAGATACGCTTCAACGTCCACTATGCTTAGATGCGCAGTCAAGACATTCTCAATTACTGCATGAACTTCAGTGGAATCAGAAAAATCTGGATGAAATGGATAGAACAAGGCTTGAGTACCATCGGCATGAATCTTTGAGAATGTCCCTGAATGCATGATTTTCCAGTCCCATATCCGCAAAATGCTCACACCTTCGAGCTAATTGCTTTGGTAAGCACAACGTTCATCACAGAGACAAGAACAAATGAAAAAGATAAGATTGTACATACCTGTGAAAATTCGGCGCAGACGAGTTCGCTAATCCACTAGAAACGCTTCGACGTCCACTAAGCTTCAATGCTAAGTCGAGACATTCCCAATTATTGCATGAACTTCAGTGGAATCAGAAAGCCCTAGATGAAGCAGAAAGAACAAGGCGTGAATACCAACCAAATGAATCTTGGAGAATGGCCCTGAACGCACGGTCTTTCAGCCCCATATCCGCGAAATGCTCACCCGTTTGAGCTAAGTGCTTTGGTAAGCACAATGTTCGTCACAGAAGTAGAAATCAACTCGAAAGCGAAGTTGGTACAAACCTGAAAAATTCTGCGCAGACCAGTTCACTGATTCACAAGATAGCTTCAACGTCCACTATGCTTACATGCGCAGTCAAGACATTCTCAAATACTGCATGAACTTCAGTGGAATCAGAAAAATCTGGATGAAATGGATAGAACAAGGCTTGGGTCCAGTGTACTTTAGCCATGCCAGTTTAAGGCACTGTGCGTGTTCATGCGCGCGTCCATTTTTCAACCCATGCTGCCCTCTTTGTGTACAGTGGTACCTCACAGAACAAACTCCTTGTAAAACGAAGGTTCCCTAGAAGGAAGGTTTTTTTTCGAGGAAAATCATTTTTTTTCACGCTGGTACTACGAACAAAATTCGTAGTACGAACTTTTTTTTTCCCCCAAAAAATCTGAAAAATTCAAAAATTCGAAATTTTTTTAATATTTCTATAAAGGCTCTAAAAAATTGGAAAAATCAGAAAAAATCATCCACCATAATTATATTCAATTGAGAAGCTATTTATATTATTTAATATAGAAAAAATTTTAATTAGCAATCCCAAAAAATTATTTTTAAAAATCCAAATGAATACTGTACCACTTTTTGAGGACTATTTTCTCTACCAGGTTGAAATTCATTAAAGCACTGCATCTGGGGGGGTTTGGCTACAATAAATTAACAGTTCTATTATTAGGTCACCACTTAAATTTTTAGAGAGAGTAGATTGCAGGTTTAAAAAATATGTGTTTCAATGGGGTTATGCTCAAAGCAAAAAATTCTTTGAAAATTGATTTTACTTTGAGAAAACCCTGCAATTGAAATTATAATCCAGAGGTTTAAAACACAGTCACAGGTTTAAAACATAAATCCACAATTTGGTTCACATTTTGTTTAAGGGGGTTAAGATGTAAGCTAAAAATTCTTTGAAAATGTGTCAGCTTTGAATATTAACCCCTCAGATGCAATTGAAAAATTTGATGTGGTTATGCTCAAAGCAGACACATTTCAAATAATTTTTGCTTTAATCATAACCCCTTGGGAGCAATGTTTTAAACCATCAATCCACATCTTAATCAGCAGATCTGAAGCATCAATCCACATTGATTCAAAGAAGGTTATCCTCAAATCAAAGCTGATTGTAAATGACATTTTCATGTGAGGATTGTATAAGTCCACATAAGAAATGTTTTAAACCAGCAGGTCACAATCTCTAAGAGATCAAAAGGAAAACCTATTTTGAATACTTTTTAGCATAAACTCTTTGGAAGCCATTCTTGACCCTGAAATGCACACTTTCTGAAAAATTGACTTAAAACAACATTTCTGAACATTTTTGGGAAAAATCTAAGTGGAACTCCAATTTAAAGGACAATTTGCATCTCAATATTTTTATGAAGTGTGAATTGGAGGCTTTAAAAATTATTCTTAAGCAGTTATGATAAAAAAAATCTTTGGAAGTGGGGGTTGCTTTCAGCATAACCCTCTTAGAAACAATGAATGCTTTTTTTTAATCTAAGGGGTTATGCTCAAAGCAACCCCCACTTCCAAAGATTTTTTGCTGTGATCATAACTGCCTAAGAATAATTTTTAAAGCCTCAAATTCACACTTCATAAAAATATTGAGATGCAAATTGTCCTTGAAATTGGAGTTCCACCTGGATTTTTCCCAAAATGTTCAGAAATGTTGTTTTAAGTCAATTTTAGATTTTAAAAAACATTTATTGTTTCTAAGATGGTTATGCTCAAAGCAACCCCCATTTTTCAAAGATTTTTTTGCTGTGATCCTAACTGCTTTAGAATCATTTTAAAGCCTGCAATCCACACTTCCTGAAAATATTGAGATGAAAAATGTCTTTGAAATTGGAGTTTCATCTGGTTTCCCCCCAAATTTTTAAAACTGATGTTCAAGTAAATTTTTCAGAAAGTGTGCATTGCAGGGTAAAAGATGGCTTTCAAATGAGCATAACCACTTAGATTTTTTCAAAATTTATTTTTTCTAAGAGGGTTATGTTCAAAGCAGACACATTTTAAGCAAAATTCTGCTTTGAGCATAACCCCCCTATATAGAGGCAATGTTTAAAATTTTGTGCATTGATGATTTAAATCTGTGGATTTGTTTTACACCTCTTCATCAAAATTTGAATTGCAGAGGCTATGCTCAAAGAAAAATAAATTTTCAAAGAATTTTTGCTGTGAGCAGAGACACCTTGAAACAAAATTTTGAACCCTTCAATCTACTCTCCCTAAAATTCAAATTAAAGTCTAATTTCAAAACTATTTTGCAAAACCCCCTTATGAACAATGTTGGAAGAGATTTCAACTTACAATGCACACATAAAAAGAAAACTGAGTTTAAATCCCATTTTCAAAAATAATTTTTGTCTTAAAATTTTTCAAAACAGTTTGGATCATAGGTTTAATGTTTCACATGTAGGGTAATGCTCAATGAGTGCTAAAATTGCTTTGATGGAAACAAAGAGACGTTTTTTGAATTTTTTTCGAATTTTTTTGAATTTTTCAGAAATTTGGGAACGAATTAAATGATTTCCCATAGAAGTCTATGGGAAATCATGATTTGTAGTACGAATGTTTCATACTACAAACGTAGCTCCAGAACGGATTACGTTCGTAGTGTGAGGTACCACTGTACTTTGCTTTCTTACAGCTTCGGAACCAACCTGGACAACAACCCTGGCAAAGACAAAAGAGTGACTTCAAATGCTACCTCACAAGGAACTAAGCGGCAAGCGCGACATCCTTTCTTTGTGTGTCAGTGCGTCTGGGAAGAAATTAAAAACGATGGTGTTTAAACTTGAATATTTTATTTTTAAGCGCGCAGGAACCTTGTTCATTTTGTCTGTTGATGACGATGCCATCTGATCCGCAGAGAAGAGAATTTAAAAAATTAGTGCATTAACGCATAACAACAAGTTTTCCACAAGTTTTCACATTACTTCCACAAATTTTAACAAATAAAGTAACAATATACGACGCGGCTCAAAACATAATATACGACGCGGCTCAAAGCGCGTTGTCTATTGCTACTGAGCCGCGTTGTACGTGCCTACTAATTGGTGTTCTGAGCCGCATCATATATTGTGTTTTGAGCGGTGTTGTATATTGTGTTTTGAGCCGCGTTGTATATTGTGTTTTGAGCCGCGTTGTATATTGTTACTTTATTGTTAAAATTGTTCCTGGTGAGGTAGCATTTGAAGTCACTCTTTTGTCTTTGCCAGGGTTGTTGTCCACGTTGGTTCCAAAGCTGTAAGAAAGCAAAGTAAACATAGAGGGCAGCACGGGTTGAAAAATGGACGCGCGCATGAACACGCACAATGCGTTTAACTGGCATTGCTAAAGTACACTAGACCCCAAGGCTTGAGTACCACCGGCATGAATCTTTGAGAATGTCCCTGAATGCATGATTTTCCAGTCCCATATCCGCAAAATGCTCAAACCTTCGAGCTAATTGCTTTGGTAAGCACAACGTTCATCACAGAGACAAGAACAAATGAAAAAGATAAGATTGTACATACCTGTGAAAATTCGGCGCAGACAAGTTCCCTAATCCACTCTTTGAAGAAAAATCATGAGAGACTTCAGAAGGCCTGTTTGAATAGGTATAAACAGTGTAGTAGGAGAAGTACTATCAACAAATATAATTAATATTCCCTTTTTATAAACCTTATGGCTTTACTGAAGGTTCTCTTTTCATTACTCTGATTATAAAAGTTGAGTACATGCAATGATAAAACCTTCAGTAAAGCCATAAGGTTTATAAAAATGAATATTAATTATATTTGTTGATAGTACTTCTCCTACTAAACTATTTATACCTATTCAAACAGGCCTTCTGAAGTCTCTCATGATTTTTCTTCAAAGAGAGAGTGATGGGTTCAGGGAGTGAGGCAGGGGGAATGGGGAGCAGCGTAAATTTGGCAGCTCATATGTGAGCTGGGGCAAGAAGTCCACTCATGGACCAGACCAGACATTATGGTACACTTTCAAACTCAATGCAACTCACTTCCATGCTGCTCCCCTAAAGGGTGTTCCTTCCACTCCCTCCCTCAGAACCACAAATGAGTGACTTCATCATGAACTGCATATGCTTGCAGACAGGAATTACATGTTGAAGAATGGTGTAGGAAGATAGCATACTATTCAATACATGAACTTGCAGCATTCTTAATGTTTTATTCTTGTTATTTTATGAGAAGTGTTTAGTGGTTGCCAGAAGGGGTAAACACATTCAAAGGTATTCCATCACTACTGCTGATTTGTGCAAATGACTTCCAAACATGACCAGAAAATAATGTAATTATTTTTATCTGATTTTGGGAGGTGGTTGGGTAAAGTTAGGTTAGGTCAGGTTATGTTATGTTAGTTACCAATATCTTTTAATTAACATAACCTAACCTAACTTTACCTAACTGCCTCCCAAATATCAAATATCTTTTGATTAACATAACCTGACCTAACCTAACTTTACCTAACTGCCTCCCAACATCAGTTTCAGCAGATTGCAGAAAAATGAAATTCACAGTTTCTGGTAGGTCATTGTGATTATGAACTTGTCTTAAGATATGTCTGCATGGTAGTGTGGTCTAGGAATGAGGTACAGAGATAAAAGGAAAGTACCATATATTTTTGGTTATTTAAAAAAGGTGTTTTATATGCTCACTATGTTATTTGTCTCTTGGAGTCTCCATTTACATTTTACACCACTAAAGCATTACAGTTGAAGTCACTCAATGAGAGGCTGGAGCTCCTATAGGGGTGGCATGAAAGAGGTAGCATTGAATGGAGCTGCCTTGAGTGGAAGTTGTACCATAACATCGCATCA